CGCTGCTGTTTTCCCTCGCAGGTTTGGGTCGGTGTTGTAGTGGGAGGCCCTCCACCGGGGGGACTCAGGCTCAGCGTGCGGTAAAAGGGGTGAGTTATCGCGCTCCCCCCCCCCTTGGATGGAAAAAAAAAGTGCACCACCACCACCACCACTACAACCACCTCCCGTGTTGACCCACGGCTGCCGCCCACCCCGCTCCACCACCGACCCACCATTGTCCACATCCCCACTACGCCTCCATGCCCGTCAACGCCACACACGTGCACGCCGTATAACATATTTTCACTGTTCCGCTATTCACCCCACATCCCCCAACACACACACACACACACACACACACACACACACACGCGCGCGCGCATACACATACAGCATACTCTCACTTATTTTCTCCACACGCTCCATTCACTCAATCTCATCTTCCTCGGCCTACTTCTCCCTGTCATGGCGGTCTTGGTGTTTGTGATTGGCATGGCCGTAAAAAATCAACATCGATCCCAGTTTGGCTGCTTCATCCTCGGCACGCGTCCTGCTCGTCGACGTCCCCACGCGTGAAGAGCCCGTGGTGGTGAAGCAAAAGGAGGTCCGCGAAGCTTCGGCAGACGCCGTCCGCCAAATGGCCACTGAGGTCAGTATTCTGGCGGCGTTGGACCACCCCAACATTGTCCGCCACTTTGACTCGGTCCTCCTCGCGGACCACCTCGCCATCACCACCGAGTACCTTGCGGGCGGATCGCTTGCGGCCGTCATCGACAACGCCCGCTCCTCGCGCTCGCGCCTCGACGAGGATTTTGTCTTGCAAGTCGCCACCCAGCTCGGCCTGGCCATTCACTACCTCCATCGCCACTCGATCCTCCACCGCGACATCAAGCCAGAGAACGTGCTCCTCGCCGCCGACGGACACGTCAAGCTCAGCGGCTTTGCCCTCGCAGCCATCCTATCCAAGGAGCAACCGCTTGCCAGCGACCTTGTCGGCGCGCCGTACTATTTTGCTCCAGAATTGTTTGCCAACGAGCCGTACGGCCCCAAGGCCGATGCCTGGGCCTTTGGTGTCACACTCTACATGACTTGCGCCCGGAAGCTGCCGTTCAAGGCCAATTCGCTCGACAATCTGGCCAAGACTGTCGTCGACGACAAGCCACCGCCGCTCTCGCGCACATACTCGCGCACCCTCCGTTCCATCGTCCGCAGTCTCCTGGTCAAGCTCGCCGACGAGCGTGCATCGACGGCAGACATCTTGCGCATCGAGGACATCCGTGCCCGCGCCCGCTCCTCGCTCTCACCCTCGTCCTACCACCGCCAGTTCAAGTCATCTCCTTTCGTTCTCTCGCTCGCTGACGAGGGCATGTACGTCCGCCAGCCTGATCCGCTGCACTCGATCCTCGACTCGACTCACGGCCAGCGCAGCTTTCTCCATCCGCTTGCCTCTCGCTCAGACCTATCTTCTGACGCCTCCTCGCAGCCGCACCTTTCCCTCTCGGGTGACGAATCGATCTTTCCCGTCAAGGAGCGCGCCTTTCCACATCTTGTTCAGCTCGCCCATGAGCTTACCTTTCCGGCGTCGGTTTCCACGCCGCAGGCCGAGCACAATGCCCGCTCGTCCGAGCCTTGGGACTCGGGCATCCATCTTGACCTCGGTCCCCACATGCGCTCACTCATCGCGTTTCGCAAGCTCTGGCTCTCGGGTGCCCTCGATTGGACAGCCTCGCCTGCCATCATGCCCCATGTCTCGTACATCGCCGACGATCTTCATCTCCAATCCCACAGCTCATCGTCGTCGCCGTCATAGCCGTTGCGGTAGTGCCGTTTGCAGCAACGCTCCCATCAATCTGCTGGTGTGGTCAAACTACCGCGAAAGGCGCTAAAACTTTACCCGCTCTAGGAACACAAGGAGATCCTCGCTGCCGCCGCCAGTCCGCACCAGCAGCTTGTCGCCGGCCACGGAGAGAAGCAGCTTGCGCGACCGCAGCATGTACACAAAATCTTCGACCTTAAACAGCGGAAGTGAGAGGCCGTGCTCTGCAAACCGCGCCTTCAGATCCGCCACCAGGCCGTCAACAATCGCCGCACGCTGCATCCGCGAGTGCACCGCTCCCTCCGGCGTCGCCGCCAGCCGGCCACGAAGCGGCGATGCCGTCTCGGCTGTCTCTCTAGGGCCGTTCCCGGCATCGCCCTCGGCCATGCTCGCGCCTGCGCCCCGCCCGCGATAACCGCCAAGCAGCAGCTGCTGGACCAGGCAATGCAGCGCCGCGCCCTTGGCCTGTACCGCGCGCACAAGAGGCCCCTCACCTGCGCCAGGCACTGCAGACGCCACCCATGTCTCCACTGCCGCATCCAGCTCGTCCATCAGTCCAATGGCGGCATTGGCTGTCTCAACCAGCGAGCCGTGCCCGCCGCCGGGTGCTGGGCTGTCGTCAGCGACACGGACCACGCCGGCCAGCGCTGCACGCGCGGACCGCAACTTGCCGGCCAGCGCCGACGACATGCCCGGCTGTCGCACCTTGAGCACGTCCTCCAGCATCCGCACTACCATCCGGACCTTGGTCCGCATCACTCGCAGTGACTCTCGCTGCGAATCGCCCAGCCCACGCAACGCCGCCGCCCACGCCGTCGCCACCTCATCCAGCACCTGTCCGACCTCGGACGCTGATGGCGGGCCACGTGCTCGTGGCGGCGACTTTGGCTTCGTTGTCGCTTCTTGTGCTGCCGCCGCTGCCACCACCGCCGCATCCGCCATCGCCGCCACCTCCTCTAGCTTGCTTTCCAGCGCAGCTTTCTCGGCGTACAGCGCCTCGATCTGCGCACTCTGTTCGCGCGTTGCGTCGGCAGCATACACCTTGCTCCGCTCCATCGCGTCGGACGCCGCCGCTTTGGCACTCGCAGCCTCGGTCTGTGCCGCCATTAGCGCATGCTCCAGCGCCGACACCCGCTCGCGCAGTGCCCGTGCCCCGGCCTCGGCCTCAGCCTTGACCTTTTCGCCGGCAACCACGTGGACTTCAGAGAGCCGATCTTGCGCCTCCTTCAGTGCTTTCTTTGCCGCAGCCAGTTCATGCGACGCATCCGCCAGCTGTGCTTCACGCGATGCCGCCAGCGCAACAGCCTCGGCCTCGGCCGCGCGCGCGCGCGCCACCTCGCCCGACTTGGTCCGCGCTGCAGCCAGCTCGTCCTCGAGTTCGCTCACATGGTCCTTCAGCTCGCGGACCTGCGCCTTGAGCGAGACCACCTGGTCGCGCGCCCGTCGCAGCACTCCCTGCCTGCGCTCTTCCTCCTCCAGCTCGGCCTCGGTCGGAACGGCCGCTGCTGCCCCGGCTGGAGCAGCAGCTGGAGCCGGGACTGGAGCTGTCGCCGCTGCAGTCGCTGCGGCATTCCGCTGTGCGTTGGCAAGCGCACCTTCGAGCGAGCGAATGACGTCCTGTGCGTTGCCGAGCGAAGCGTTGAGCGCTGCGTTCATGTCGCGAAGGAGCGCCACGTGCTGCTCCGCCACCGCATGCGTCGCAGGCTCATCTCGCGTCTCCGGCTTGGGGAAGCCGCCTTTGACGGCGGCGGAGGAGGTGTCGGCTGCAGCGCCGCCTCAGCGCGCCGCCTCTGGATCGACGCTCGGATGTTCTCCGAGGTTTCCAGCCGAGCCCGGGCAGCTTCCAGCTCGTCCAGCAGTGCATTGGCCTGGGCCCGCGCCTCGTCGCGCGCAGCTTCGGCGCTCGCCAGTGACGCTGCAAGGGTGTCGCGCTCGGCGGCCAGCGCCAGCGCCTGCTGCTGTGCTGATGCCAGCTGGGACTCCAGCTCGTCTGACGCCGAGTGGCTCGCCGATCGGAGCTTGCCAACACTCTCGCGCTCACTCTCCAGCTCGGAGCGGATCGCAACCGCGAGCTGAGTCGCCGACGCGACCTGGCTCTCCAGCTCCGGTACCCGTGCCTCAGCCTGGGCAACCCGCATTTCCAGCTGGCTCTTGTCAGTCGCCAGCGCCTTGCACTTGACTCTGAGCTTAAGCACGGCCGCCTGTGCGTCATCAAGTTGCTTGGCGAGCAACCGGATCTGGTCGCGCTGCTCGGCGGCAGCAAGGATCTCGCGGTCCTTGAGCTTCTGCTCGGCAGCAAGCGACTCGCGCAGGATACCAACCTGGCCAGCCATGGCCTCTGCCGCTGACGCCTCGCGCGCCAGCGCCTGCGAGGCGCGATCAAGTTCAGCGGCTGCCTCGGTAGCCTCCGAGACTGCCGCCGCCGCCGCGTTCTCCGACTTGCCGAGAAGCGAGCGGAGGGCGGCGACTTCCGCGTCCTTCCGCGCCATGCACTCACGGAGAACGGCAGCCTCCTCACGGACCCCGGCCAGCGAGACCTCGGCCTGATGCCGCCGCGCCGCCTCGGTCTCTGCAAACGCCGCATGCTTTGCGGCCTCCTTGGCCAGCCGCAGATCGGACAGCTGTTGACCTTGCTGCGCAGCGGTCACCGCCGCCCTCGCCTCGGCGAGTGCATCGGCGAGTGCCTCGTTCTCCCGCGACAGCGCCTGAACCTGCTCGTACACTCTCGCAAGCTGCGACGCATGCGACGAGGTGTGCGACTCTTCTGCCGCCGCCAGCGCCGCCGACGACGCCGACAGCCTCCGCGCCGTCAGGGTCAGCTCCTGCACCGATGCTGCCAGCCCTCCGCTGCCCTGCTGCCAGCCCTCCGCTGCCCCGCGCCCCGCTCCTCGGCTCGGGCGTCGCCTTCATTTCATGCCATCGTTCCTCGGAGCTTGGTCGGCCACCTCCGCCGGAGCTTGGTCGGCCACCTCCGCCGGAGCTTGGTCGGCCACCTCCGTCTCCGCCTCCGTCTCCGTCTCCACCTCCGCCTCTTCCACCTCTTCGGCCTGGCGTCTCTCGGCTCGCGCTGCCTCCGCCCGCCACTGTCCGACTCGGCGAAGGTGTGGCGTAAGCCGCAAACGTCGCCATCTTCCCCGCCTGTACTGCACTGATGGTGGAGATGGCTGGTAGCAGGAGTGGGGGGGGGGGCGCTGGGCGGGGGAGGCGGAAGGGGGGAGCCGTTGAGCAGCCAGTCAACCAGCCAGTTGAATATTCCATTGTGGCTGCGTCGATTAATCGTTGCTGGCTGTCGATTAATCGTTGCCGGCTGTCGATTTATCGTTGCTGGCTGTCGATTAATCGTTGCTGGCTGTCGATTAATCGTTGCCGGCTGTCGATTAATCGTTGCTGGCTGTCGATTAATCGTTGCTGGCTGTCGATTAATCGTTGCTGGCCGTCGATTATTCGCTTCAACTGCACTACGCATTCTGTTCGTCCGTTCGTTTGTTCGTTCGTTCGTCCGTTCGATGCGTTCGCTTGCTCCCTTCGCTGCCTCTCGATTTCTTTGAAACTGACCACAGTGTACGGCACGTCTCTCAACCTCATCTTCAGACAGACAACCTACACACACATATACATACACCATGTCGGCCTTTGTTAACGACTGGACAAACAACCTCAACGCGTTCGACTCTGCGCTCGATACCAAGGTCATCCCGCGGTGGAAGCGGAAGGCCATGGAGAAGGCACAGCAGTCGAGCGCCAACGCGTCGACGTCGGCCATTACCGCCTCGTCGCTCGCGACCACTCCCTCCCGCGGCACCAAGCGCCGTGGCTCTGGCACCCCACAGGTACGCTCTTCCCCCTCCCCCGTTCCCTTGAACATGCTCTACTGCAGTGCCAAGGGCAACTTGTCCCCCAAGGCCTTCATCCCTGTGGAGAGACTCACACGCTGCGGGAGGGGCGACCAACGGACGGACGAATTTTTCAAACTTTTGCGATGGACGGAAATATTTTTCCTTCAAACTTTCGCGCGCGCGCTCGACACAACGCACAGTGCGATCGGTTTATCCCCAACCGCGCGGCGATGGACATGTCGCTGGGCAAGTTTGCGCTGCAGGAGAACAACCCGACCCTGGGTGAGGACGGTAGCGGGGCATACTCGCCGGCCAAGGAGGAGTACCAGCAGACTCTGCAGGAGACACTCCTCAACGGTCGGACCGAGTGCGCCAAGATCCTGGCGTTCAAGGCCAAGGCGCCCGCGCCGCCGGTTGGCTACCAGAACTCGCTCAAGGTCCTGTACTCTCAGAACAAGGCGTCTGCCGGGCGGAAGCGCAAGGTCACGCGCCACATCCCGCAGGCGCCCGAGCGCGTCCTCGACGCGCCCGACATGCTCGACGACTACTACCTCAACCTGCTTGACTGGAACAAGCAGAACATCCTCGCCGTTGCTCTTGGTCAGACCGTGTACCTGTGGAACGCCGAGAACGGATCCATCACCGAGCTCTGCACCACCGAGGAGCCGGACAACTTTATCACCTCGCTGTCTTGGATCGAGGACGGCTCGTACCTTGCCGTCGGTACCAACACCGCCGACGTCCAGCTGTGGGACACCGAGGCGTCCCGCCAGGTCCGTTGCATGAAGGGCCATCATTCGCGCGTCGGCTCGCTGGCGTGGAACCAGTTCATCCTCTCCTCGGGCTCGCGCGATTCAATGATCTTCAACCACGATGTTCGCGTCGCCGACCACCACATCGCCACGCTCGCCTCCCACACCCAGGAGGTCTGCGGGCTCAAGTGGTCGCCGGACGGCACCCAGCTGGCGTCGGGTGGCAATGACAACCTCCTCTGCATCTGGGACATCAACGGTGGTGAGTCGCCCAAGTTCACCCTCAACGACCACTGCTCCGCCGTCAAGGCTCTCGACTGGTGCCCGTGGCAGGAGAATCTTCTGGCGTCCGGCGGCGGGACCGCTGATCGCTGCATCCGCTTCTGGAACACAGAGACCGGCAACTGCCTCAACACCATCGACACCAAGTCCCAGGTCTGCTCCCTCAAGTGGTCCACCCATCACAAGGAGATCGTCTCCTCGCACGGATTCTCCCAGAACCAGCTTATTGTCTGGAAGTACCCGTCCATGGTCAAGATGGCCGAGCTGACCGGCCACACCTCGCGCGTCCTGCATCTTGCCGCTTCGCCCGATGGCGAGACCATTGTCTCCGCCGCCGGCGATGAGACGCTCCGCTTCTGGAAGTGCTTTGCCCGTGACTCGGCTTCGTCGGCTGCGGCCACCAAGCCTGTCATTGACAACCGCGGCCTGCGCCGGAACGTCAACATTCGCTGAAGTGTGCATGCTGTGCTTGCTGCTGCGCTCGTGGTTGATCATCGACGCCCGCTCTTGACCTGCCAGGTCCACTTTCGCCCTTGTTGTGATGGTGCACTGCGACCCTAACGCACCACTCTACGAGGACTATGGCTCTGGCTCTTTGGAGCTGTCGTTGGCGTCTCCTACGTTGCGTGGCTTGGCCCACCCGTGCTCTCCGCCCGGTGGACGCGGCCTGCCCGCTCGTGGTTTGAGTCTGCCCGCCGCCCCGCCCGCCGGTTTGCCTATCCTCGGCTACCTTTATTTTTGTTTTTGCCCTCCTCCCCCTCCCTCCTCCTCCCCCCCCATCCCCATCGCGCCCTGCGCGCCTGCCCGTTGTTTGTTGCCATCGTTTTCTGGACTCTTCTCTCGCCTTTCCCCCTTTTATCTCGACTACCCCCCTCTCTTCCATGTTTCCCCGCCACGCTGCCGAGCCCAACTCGGCTGCCTTGGCGCGACAACCAACCCCTGTCGGGATCCAGAACGCGGCACGCCTCGGCGGGCCGCGGGGCCCTCTCGCGGGCCCGCCCAAGTCTTATCAGACTAGGGTGTCCGGCCTTCCCGGCTTCTTCTCAATCTGTGTCCAGGACCAGACGAGTTGATCGAACCACCACTACCCCCCCCCCCTCCCCCTCCCTATGGATAATAAACGATGTCTAATCTCTGGTGCTGTGCTTGTCGTGGGTATAGCTGTGGGTGTGGATGGGATTGCGCCCGAGCGGCATTCGGCGAGACAACAACGATGGTTGCAGCGGCGAGTCGACGAGCTGACGGCGAGTTGGATAACAGCCGACTTTGCGAGGCTGAGACACGAGGCGGTGGACGGGTACCGAGGCGAGAGATTGAGAAGAGCAAGGTCAAGCAGGTGGCTGTGTGTGTGGTGGCTCTGAAGCCATGTCTGTGGTGTCGTTTGAGAAAAAGGTGCTCTACACGTACCTCGCTCTTCTGTTCGGTAGCCTCCTCCTCCTGGCGGTGGTCTTTGATTTGGTGGCCACCTTGGAGTACGAGGATCCGTCGGCTATGCCCTCATCATATGCTGTCTCACTGCTCTTGGTCCACGGCGGGAGTTTCTATCTCTTCCTTCTCGGCTTTGTCTACGCCTGCGAGACTCAGGCAAAGTCGCACGTCTCCCTCTCCCTCGCTGCCCTCGGTCTCAACGTCATCGCTCTCGTCGGCCGCATCACAGTCACGTTTATGTTCATCGACTATCGCCCCACACAGTATGCCGCGTGATGGCCAGTACGCCGCGTGATGGTCGAACCGCTGTCATGATTGATCCCTCTCAGATGGCGTACGGACGCGGCGGCGGCGGCGGCGGCTGGCGATCCGTTTACCCGCTGCTACTGCTCGCGTCGTACGCAACACTCACAGGCACTTCGGCAGTAAGCAGCTCCATAGTTGGCGGGCCAAACGCGTACTGCGAGTCCACGCCCGAACCGACCGTGCTGTTGTACGCCGGCTCGATCGATCCAATCAGCATTGCGCCGGAACCGGTCCCGTGCGACTCGCGGCCGGTCGATTCAAGGTACGACGTGCTCATCATGGTGAGGTCTGCGTATGCATCGTCTGCAATGACCACCTCGTCGGACGAGCTAATACGGCGCCGGCGACCGGCGGCCACATGCGCCCGCTCGGCTGTGTTGAGCTCAAAGATCTCGCCCTGCAGCCGCTGCAACGACTGCGCCGTCGCCAGTCCGACCTGCTCGCCGGCCGCCACATGCGCCCGCTCGGCTGTGTTGAGTTCAAAGATCTCGCCCTGCAGCCGCTGCAACGACTGCGCCGTCGCCAGTCCGACCTGCTCGCCGGCCGCCACATGCGCCCGCTCGGCTGTGTTGAGTTCAAAGATCTCGCCCTGCAGCCGCTGCAACGACTGCGCCGTCGCCAGTCCGACCTGCTCGCCGGCCGCCACATGCGCCCGCTCGGCTGTGTTGAGCTCAAAAATCTCGCCCTGCAGCCGCTGCAACGACTGAGCGGTCGCCACGCCCATGGGAGGCGGAGGCACACCGCCTGGTCCGAGCAGCTGCAACGACTCTGCCGCCGCCGCTGACGACGACGCCGATGACGACGACGACGCTGTGGATGACGTCGAGTCACCGCCCTTACTGGCGAGCTCTTGCAGCCCAACATCTGTGTAGATCGCCACCGACTTTTCCGCACACTCACTATCGGTGGTGGCCATGATCCGCTCGCCGCGCGAGACTACGTTTGCGAGCGAGACGTGATTGCGGAAACCGATGACGGCCGCCACCGTAGCTAGGCCCTGCACCACTGCAGCTGCCAAAATGCCGGCAAGTGCGTTGTCCGACGCTTTGGCCACGCCCTTGCCCGGACTCGTGACCAGCTCGCTCACTAGCAACGAGAGGAGGAAGACCAAGACGAGAAGTGGGACGAGCTCGGCGACCACAGCCAGCCGCAGCAGCCGCTCGCACCCGCGCCAGAGCATGTGGTCGTCGTCGTCATAGAGCGCTGCTGCGAGCACAAAGGACGCGCCAGCCATCCATGCACCCCGGCGGCGGCGGCCGGCCGATCAAACCGCGACATGCTCATCACCCCGCGGTCGTCGCCGCTTCCGGACGACAGGGCAGACTCGAGGGTGAGACCGATGAGTACAAGGCTGATCATGGCTTGTGCCACCACTCCGGCCACTACGGCCCATCGTGGCGCCACCAGCGTGTCAAAGTCAATGAAGCACACCATAGGCTTGCCTCCCGTGTGATGCCCGAGAAAGCTGTTGCGCCGTCCAACCGGCAGTTCCCGGCAACCCTGTCCGCTGTCATTGGGAGCTGGCACTCGCGCCCGCTCGCCGCAGCCGGCGCTGGCGGTAGTTGAAGACCGGCGTAAAGAGCTCGGTCATCGCCTTACGCTCGGCCTTGGCCCACGCCTGCAGGACCTTGGCCCGCTCGTCGCGCGTCTCGGCGGATGCCACTTGCGCCAGCCAGGGCGCCGACGCCGGCGGCGCCGCAGCTGTTGCCGCCGCCACGTCGTCAGCCGAGCTGACAGCTTGCACGACAACCACAAACGGCATCATGTTCGACAAGTTCACCGCGTGCATGGAAACCACCATCAGGCCGACAACGGCTGCAGGCGAGCGTGCAAGCGCAGGCACCAGCAGCTTGAACTGCGGCGTGAAAAGAACCGCACGCCCGGTACCAGGCACCAGCACCCGCGCAAGCTCACCCACGAGCTTGACGTACATGCCTCGGAGTTGCGACGTCCGCCCGCACCGGTGGCCAAACGGCAGATCGGCGATGACGCCGTCGATTGTCGCGCTGCGCAGCGGCAGCATGCTCGCGTCCCACTGGACCAACTCGGCCGCGCCAAACTGCGGCGGGTCGTCATCGCGGATTCGCCCAGCCGCCAGCTCATCGCGATTGCTCAGTGCCGTCTCGCAGTTGACGCGAGCAAGCTCGCCAGAGACAAAGACCGCATCCGCCGACGCTGCCGATGATGCGCCCTCGAGCGCAATAATGCCAGCGCCGCCGGTGACGTCAACCACCACCGCGCCGTGCGGTAGCGGGCCGAGTGCATCAATGAGCCCGTACGCGACAGATGGTTGAAGCGAGGAGCCTTGCGCCGTGTCGTCGAGCGGCTCGGCCACCCGCGACTGAACAAGTCGCGTCCGCGGCGGGAGAAGCGGCACCGCCATGCACATCCAGTCGCGAAAGACAAAGACCTCGAGCTCGATCAGATGCTCCAGCATCGAAGCCTTCCAACCGGGGCAAGCATCACACATGACGCTCCCCCAGCTCGCCGAGAGCTGCTGCGATGACGCGGTGTGGCTCGTCTTGGTTCCGGCCCGGTGCGCCGAGATCTTGAACGTCAGATCGAGCTCGGCCCAGGCCGCCAGCTCCCCGGCTTGAGCCTGTTCCGACGCCTGGACCTGCGCGGCCAGCGCCCGGACCTTCTCCTCGTCCTCGCGCGCCATCTCAGGGTACGCTTCGCGGCCGCAGGACCAGTCGTCGATGGCGAGCCGGCCGATGACGCCCAGCGCTGCGCCGAGCCGCGGCGCCCATCCCGAGTCCATGAGGCCGCCAAAGTACGCCACCAGCTCGGCCGGAGATGGCTCGTTATCGTTGCGAATGTGCTTCTTCATGGCAGCTTTGATCGCCTGTTTGGCTTGCCCGCGGAGATGTGTCCGGCCGACCTCCTCACGCTTGGCCTGCCGCAGCTCGGCACGGATCGCTGCAATGCGAGCCTTCTCTGCAGCGATTTCCTCCTCAGAGCGGAAGAACGGCACACCATCCGTCATCTCCACCAAAACCATAACGTCCACGACTGACCGCAACCGAACCAGTGCAAGCAGCTCGTCTGCCGTCGGCCACTCGTGCTCCAGCTCGACCAGCAAATGTCCCGGCGACGGCGTGGCCATGGCCTCCACCCCGAACTTGGCCCGGAGCTCGTCACGGACGCATGCCCCAAACCCTGGATTGAAGAACACCAGATACCGCACAACCATGTCTTGCTCTCCGCTCTCTCTTGCTGCGGCCAACGAGTCGCGTGTGCCCCAGCTCCCCCCCCCCCTCCCTCCCCCTTCCCTCCCTCCTCTCCAGGGCTCTTTGCGGATCAAAGGCGCTGGACCGACCCTGCTCGATCGTGGGAAGAGGAGAGGGCAAGAGACGTCATCGAGGGAGGAGGAGTGATCAGAGGTTGTGGCTGGATTGGGGAGAGATGTCGCTGTGCAGTATGGAGTCAGCTGATGGTTGGGGGGGGGGGGGGAGGGGAGTAGGGGGGACGGGCGGGTGCGTGTGCGTGGCAGAACTAATGTGGACTCGAGTGACGGATGCACCAGTTTAGCGTCGGTGGGCCCATGGATGGAGGCATTTTTGACGATGTCTGCCAGAGATCATAGCCATGTCCAGAGAACGAAGCAGTGCTGGTCTTCTCTCCTTCTAGCCGGAGACAACGGCTTACCTCGACCGCCTCAAGCTCCCCATTGGGCTTGACCTGCGGGAGAAGCAGCGCAGTGGTTTTTGATGATCACTTTTTTCCAGTTGTGCTCACTCTCCACGACTCTGAGGCTTTTGGTGGCGAAGCGACAGAGTGGGAGGCGTTCATTTCTGGAGCAATCCGACCGGAACATGCGGGAAGAGCCCGCTCTGGGCCGATCGCGACTTGGTCCCGAGCCCTGGTCTCTTGCGTGGCTCAGATGCGACTGCACGCTCGGCGTGGCGCGCGCGGCGACTCGGACCACTTGAGGCGCTGCCGTCGCGGGCTGTGGCACTCCGCGCTAAAGGATGGACCTTTCCGCGACGACCCGAGTGCATGCGGGTCGGCGATGGAGCGGCGCGTGTGGCGGGCAATGCGCCAGCTTGCGTTGGCGCGGCAAGTTCGGCCGAGGCCGAGTCGAGATCTTCCGACGAGAGCGACTCGAGGCAAAGCGAGTCCGTCCCGGATCCGGAGACGGAAGCGGGCGAGTGCGACGGGGCCGAGTGGCGGTTGACAGTTGCCGATGATCCGTTTTCGGCATCGGATGCTGAGCACGACCTGCTGGCGGCTGCAGGATCGGCGACAAGGAGCAGATCTTTGTCGACGCGCTGCGGCGCCGCCGGAGCTCCGGCGGAGCAGATCGCAAGCTGGGCGGCGATGCCCTGGAGTACTGCGGCAGCAAGGAGTACGGTCGCGGCGATGTCACGACCAGTGACGCTGACGGTCGCCGGCACGTTTGCCGTTGCCGCCACTATGGCCGCGCTCAGCCAGACCAGGGCAGCCAACGGAGCCATCTGGGCCGCGGCTACCAAGCGCGTCCAACCGCGTCTGCTACTGATGTCTGCGGCTACACACAAGCCCGGCACCATGGCCACAAGGCCTGCTCCGACCGTCCATGCCAGAGCCGTGGCGCAGATGGGGCGATCGAGCTCGCGGTGCCCGAGCACGCCGTCGTTGCGCGTCGCCGCCGCGCTACTCATCGCCGATCCGAGAGTCAGCGCGATCAGGGCAATGCCGATAGCAGCCTGCATGAGGCCAAGTCCCCACACCATGCTTGGAGCCATAGTTGCGGCTCGAGATGTGTGTCCCCTTGCCTCTCCCCCCTCCCTCCCCGTTGGTTGCCGCCGCTTCCAAATCGCTGCCTTCCCGGCAACCAGCCGTGCCACATCCATCCACCAGCCATCCGCCAGCCATCCGCCAGCCATTGCCCCCTTCCCCATCGATCTGCCGATCATGCGCCATCACGCCCCCCCCCCCCCCCCTACACACACATCCCCTCCCCCCCAATCCAATGGTGTCGTCCACACCACCATCCCCCCTTCACCCCAAATGCCACCCCCAAAAGCCACCCAAATGCCGCCCCAAATGCCACCAAATGCCACCCCCAAATGCCACCCAAATACCACCCAAATGCCACCCCCCCCCTTCTCCCCCAAATGCCACCCCCAAATGCCACCCAAATGCACCCCCCCCCCTTCTCCCCCAAATGCCACCCCCAAATGCCACCCAAATGCCACCCCAACCCCCACCCTTTTCCATCCATTCGCCCCCCCAAATGCCACCAAATGGCGCCCATCCTCCCTTTGCCCCCCTTCGCCCCCTTCCCCTCCCTCTCCCCTCCCCCCCTACTACCCCCCACCCCTTCTCTCTCCCCCCCGCCCCCTCCCCATCCCACCACCACCTCCCCCCCCCCCTCTTCTCCTCCTCCACCCTTCCCATGTCGTACCCCGTGGGCAAGACCCCGCGTGAGCCCTTTGCCTCCTTCTCCAACCGGCTGCCAGTGACGCCGCGTGAGACCGAGCCCAAGTACCTCCCGTCACACATCCTGGGCAGGACGACTGGCAGTGCCTCGCCTGCACCCGACGGACTGAGTGCTGGTCATGGTGGCCTTGCGTATGGCTCGTCCTTTGCCAACTCATCGCATCTCCCCTCATCCGCCCATCCCGCCGCCCATCCGTCCCATGCCGGTCACGGACATCACCATCATCATCATCATCATCACTCTGGCCTCAACGGAGCCCTCAACTCGAGCAGCTCGCTCGTCGACCTCCCGCTGCCGCATGGCATGCGCCAGGCCTCGCCTTCCAACCACAGACGCCACATGTCCCCTGGTGGCGAGTATGCCGATCCGCACGGCCCCCGCTCACGCCACCCGCAACCGCACCATCGCTATCCCTCGCCCATGGCCGCTTCCGCCGGCTCCATGCCCCGGGCCTCGTCGATGGCTCTCTCTTCGCGCGGCGCCACTCCCTACGGCGACGAGCGCAGCCGCCTGCGCCACCGCGCCCCGTCAGAGTTTGCCGCTTCAGGCGCGAGCGGCTTCCACGGCTACCCTGGGAGTGAGCACCCCGGCGAGGTCGGCGACGCTGGCGCCAATGCCCCGCCCAAGGCTCTCGGCCAGTCGGTCTACGCCCAGCTCAAGCCGTCGTCGGACATCACCGAGTCGCCGGCTGGTCGCACCGGATATCCCAGCGAGGGGCCCGCCGCTCTTGGCGCCTCGGTCAACCGCGGCTCGCTGGCAAACTCGTCGCAGCTCGGCGCGTCGTCGTCGGCTCCCCGCCACTCGAGCAAGAAAAAGCCGTTTGACAACCGCTGGATCACCGTCTTTGGCTTCCCCACCTCGTCGACTTCGTTCCTGCTCAAGCACTTTCAGCGCTACGGCGAGATCCTCAACTACCTGCCTGGCCAGGGCAACTGGATCCACATCGAATACGCCCAGCCCATCCACGCCCAGCAAGCGCTCGCCCGCAACGGCACCATCTTCAATGAGAAGCTCATGATCGGCGTGATGCTCTCGGAGGATGTCGACCCGTACGAGCTCCAGGCTCCCGTCTGGGGCAACGATGCCATCGGCATCGGTGCCGGTGCTCCTCAGGCACGCATCATCGCAGACGGCCCAGCGTCGTCCGTCTTTAAGCGGCCTACCGCCTCGCGCTCTTTCATTGCCAAGATCTTCGAGTACCTGTTCGGCTGGTAGACTGCCCGCCATCCTAACCCCCTTCCCTGCCCCCTCTTCCACTAAACTGTGGCCTCGTCCTCCTCGTCACCCTGCTCCGCCAGTCTGACCCGCTCGCTCACGCGTCCGTGTCCGCGCCTCAGCCGCCAGCTCGCTACGGATCTTGCTTCGCAGTGCGTCGACCTGCTCTGCCGCCAGCCGCTGCGCCTCAGCTTGAATCCGTGCCACCAGCGTGTCTTTGAGCGCCCGAGTCCGCGAGATTTCCTCGCCGAGCGCCGCGTTGTGCCGCCGGATCGCCGCGTTGAGCTCCACCACCAGATGGTCGCGCTGGCTCGCAAACGCGGCCTCGGCATGGCTCAGCGTCGCACGCAGCGACTCGACCTCTAGCAGCAGCCCGCCGCGGCTCCGCACCGGCGATCGTCCCGGCAGCTCGATCGACCTGTCGTGCGTCGACGGCGAGCCCGACAGCATGCTGTCTGAGCCAAACAGCACCGACGCCACCGACTCGTTCGCCGCTGGGTTCGGGACAACCACCACCTGTGGTGCCGCCTCGTCGACGCCGAGCAGCGGCGCCGACGCCACGTCGGCCTCCAGCGCTGCCAGCGTCGCCATCAGTGCCCGCCCGCTCGACTCGAAGAGCTGGCATGCCGCCGGTGTCGGGTTGGCCACAAACTCGCTGCACGCCGAGAGCAGCACGCCGCCGCGCGCCGCCACCAGCCTGCTCGACGCCGCCACCAGACCCCGGACCTGGCTGTCCTCGGTAGCGAGCTGCCACTGCCGCGAGAACCGCGCCAGCGCTGCAAAGCCAGCCTCTAGCTGCGGGACCGCGAGCCGGACTTGGTACCGACCAAGGACCGACGCTGTCTGCGCATCGACCGACGCCTGCAGCCCCACCACCGCCGCCACCAGCGGCCCACCAGCCGATGCCGCACGCACCTCGGCCACAATTGCCTCGAGTTCGCTGGCGATGTTGCGGACTCGCTGTTCCAGTCGATGGTCTGATGCCTGCTCCGAGTCGGGAGCGTGAAGCCGCGCGCCCACAACAAGCGAAAGCTCGCTCAGCATGCCCTCCAGCAGCGTTTGGTGCTGAGCAAGAGCGTCGGCGACACCAGGCACCGCCACCGACGCCGCCCATGCCTCGATCCGCCGGAACGTCCGCTCAGCAAACGAGTCAAGCATGTACGCCCACATCTGGAGCTCACTTCCAGACACGTTCTTCCACTCGCGGAGCTTGGCCGTAAAGTCACGAACGACGTCGACGACCGAGTCGCACGCCACCGATGAAACCGCAGTGAGCGAGCTGATGGCGTCGTGCAAGTCCGCCACCATAGCCTCGATGTCGTCGGCGACAGCGTTGCTCGGCGCTGTGGCGTACTGCCCACACCCGGCCTCAATGCCGGACACCAGCTGGATGACTTCGGCGTGAAGCGGGAGCGCGAGCTCTGCCGCGGCGGGCGACGCCGCCTCTGCCCACCTCGCGGACGCCCGCTCGAATCTGGCCAGCTGCCGTGCTACTGCGGCGGCGCGCGACGGCGCGCCTACACTAGTGCCCCTGCCTTGTTCGCAGCCGGCCGTGCGGAGCGCGCGCCCGACTGCGGCACGGACGCTCCTGGCGAGAGCCAGGAGATCGGCACCGGGCTGGACGGCAGCAACAATGGCAGAGAGGTCGTCGCAGGCAGCGTCAAAAGCAGAGAGGGCGTCGCACAGGCTCGGATCTGCTGTCTCAAGGAGCTGCGGCGGAACCTGACTTCCTGCGCCACTTGTCACGACGGTCACAATGCCGAGCAAGCTCTGGCAGGCGGTCGCCATACGGTCCGGGAGCAGTTGTGCCGCATTGCGCGCGGCGCCGAACGGACAGGCTGCAAGCCATGCTGCGGCATCGGTGGTAAACTGGGAGGCGAGCGACGCGACGACGGCGTGAGAGGCCCGGAGCTGCGGAATCGGCTCTAGGGCCAGCGCGACAGCGAGGTCGTGGACTCGCCGCGAGAGCAGCGTCGCGGTTGCGCCCAGGTCCAGCAGCGGACGCGCTTCTTCCGCCGCGTCGGCCATGACGCCGAGCGAGAAGAGCTCAGCCCGCGCATAAGCCGACGCGTCGAGCTTGTGGGCGACTAGCTGCTTAATGAGCACCTGATTCTGTTCCTGCAGCCTGGCGATTTCGGTAGTTGCGGCAGCAAGCTCTGCGTCGGCCGAGTCTGCCTCACTCGTGGCTCCGCGCGCATCTGCGAGGTATTTGGCGAGAAACGAGGACGAGCGCGAGAGCCGCTTGGCCTGCTGTGACGTCCGCCGCATCGATTCTATCGAGTCGGACCGCTCCATACGGGCGGCGGCAATGGCCGGTCGGATCTCCTCAGCAGCGCACCGCGGCGGGTCGGCACAGACCGCCTCAATGGCGGCAACCTCGGCCACACCAGCAGCCACCGCCGGCGGTGGAGAAGTCTGCTCCGCCTCGTGTTCACAGCCCGAGCAGCTTGAACCAACGCTCGCTTCTTCGTCGCTAAACTCGAGCCGCACCGGCTGCGGCGAGCCAGCCTTGGGCGCCGCGACCTGTGGCGGCGCTGCAACTCTCGGCGAGTCGTCCTCGGACGAGCTGGAGTACTCGGACGAGTCCGAGACTACAAACCTGGCAGTCGAGTTGCCGAATCGGGACAGGCTCGAGTTCGCTGAGCCAATGTTCGAGACAACAACGTCTGAAGTCCTTGGCGGGACGGGACTGAGCACCTCGTCCGGCTTGGGGCTGGCGAAGCTCTCTCCCGCCAGCGCGGAGATGTCCTGGCGATGCGCCGCCAGCGCGATCAGGAGAAGCGGCTTGACGTCTGCGGCTGACGCGAGCCACGCTGCGAGGACGGCTGGAAACGGCGAGTCCCTTGGCCCCGCGGCACGGACAACCTTTGCAAGCGCGTCGAGGGCAGCGACATTGGCCGGTGGCAGCGCGCCCAAAAGCGCGTCCATCTGGTCGCACGCGCCCGACGAGTCGATGATCGACGCTGTGATCTCAAACAGCAGCACCGAATCGCGCAGCAGCTTGCCATCCGGCAACGTACGCCTCACTCGTCTCAGCACCTCCCGGGCCGCAATCTCGCTCTCACTCCCACCATCTGCATCGAGCGCGAACTGCGCTGACGGCTCAAAGACCGGAAGCACCTCTGCCGCCTCTGCCAGCACCGTCTCAAGCGCCATCTTCTGAGCCGCAATGTCTCCCATAGTGACTCTGGCTACCTGTCGACCGCAATCAGGAGCAGATCAACCACGCACTGTAACGCCAGTCGCTCACCCCCTGCCAGTCGTCCACGCCCCCCAGCCAATCGTCCACGCGTCCCCAGCCAGTCGTCCACGCCCCCCAGCCAGTCACCCCAGTCACATCCACACACCACATGAGTCCCCTCCATCCCCCTCCATCCCCCCTTCCCTCCTCCCCACCCAGCACCGTACCCCTCCCCGCCGAAGAGCAGTGTGCCACCGAGCACCGCTCTCTCTCCCCCTCCCCCCCCCCCCCCCCCCCCCGCCCATGCTGCACAGACTACGACTGGCGATTGCTCTCTCCGCACCACACTCACGGGCACTTGCTGCACTGCCTGCTCATCCACTGACTCGGTCGCAGACACAGGCGGTGGCACTGGCGGAGACTCGGGTCGGCCATGGACAGGACATGCACTCGCCGCTGACACGCCCCACCCTCCGTATCCTCCACTCTTCGCTCACCGCTGCCACCGCTGCCACCGCTGCCAGTGCCACCACTGCTGGCAATGCGACGGCCCGGGTCGAGCTCTCGCGCTACACACATACCTACCTCCTCGCCCTCACCCATGCTTGCCTCGCCCCGACGCAGCCGCTCTACCTCCCGGGCCTTGCTCGCCTGCTTCTGGCGGGTGCTACTTCGGATCCTCCCTCGCATCAGGCGCATCCGGTCGCGCTCGCTCATCATCTCCCACCGCTGGCTCACATCGTGTCGCCGCGGGCAAAGCGGCTGGCCCCGGCTCCCATCCCGGTCAACCTCCTCGAGGCCATGGACAAGCCGCAGCTCGCCCTCGCCACCCTCGCCGCCTACGGCGCTGCCCTCGTCGGCTCTTCGCGTCCAGCCTCACACGCCTTTCTTGCCGAGGTCCTCGACATCGACATTCTCTCCTGCCTCTTCCGCGCCCTCCGCGACTGTACCAGGCCAGAACTCGAGCCGCACGCCGCCCTCCTTGTTCGCGTCCTCGCCGTCGTTATTCGCGCCGCCACCCTCGACGTCACCAGCCTCTCGGCACTCTGCAACGCACTGCCATTCAACGCGTTTCTCCAGCTCGCCGCCGCTCCCGACCTCCCGCCCGCCATTAGTGTCGAGCTGTGGCAGCTGCTTTGCGTCCTCCTATACCGCGCCACGCCGCTCGACCCCGCGCTCCTCTCATCTTTTTACAACCTTGGTGGCGACGATGCCCTTGCCACCGCCATCATCGGCCTCGAGACCCGCGACACCGCAGCTGTCAACGCTCTTATCACGGGCGCCCGTCTGCTCTGCTTTCTCTCGCCCTCTCTCGCCGCCACGCCAGCGTCCACCCCGTCGTCGTCACCCGCCGGCGCCGACGACTCGCTCTCGCTGCTCACCAGCCCGCTCGCCGACTCGGTCTTCTCGCCGGCTTTCAAACGCGCTTGCACCATCGTCTCTACCTCGCCCATATCCACCCTCCTCGACGTCTTTGTCTCGGCCTCCCGTGTCGAGACCAAGCTCGACGTCCTTCGCTCGCTCGAGCTGCTCTGGGTTGACAACCCCACCAACTACGCCCTCCTCGGCGCCCTGGCTCCGTTTGACACCTTTTTGCAGTACTCGACCTTCCACAAGCTTCATCTCGAGCTGCAATACGCCATCCTCTCCGCCCTCACCCGTCTGGTCCTCTCGTCGGGCCTCCCGCTCCGCAACGAGCTCGCCCATCTGGTTGCACTCCTTGCGCCCGACACGCCCGACATATCCCCGCCGTCAGCCCTCATTCTTGCCCACCACATCCGCTACATGCTCCACCACGCGCCGCCGGCCATCAACCTCCGCCGCCGGCTCCGTGCCGCCGGAATGGTCGACCTCCTTGTCGCTCTCACCGCTGCCCTTGACTCGCCGTCATCGCGCCCGCGCCCGCTACTCGCCATCAAGGACTCGTACCAGCATGCCTTCATCTCCATGCTCCTCACCTCGTTTGAAGACCTGGTCGCGTCTCCGAACCACTCGGACTTTCTCGCTCCGCTCCCCACGGCGACCCCAACACCAACCGCCATCCTTACCCTCGCTGCCCGCCGCCTCCCAGCCTCGAGCTACTACCCGATCACCCGTAACTTGCTCGGTCTCTCCTCATCATACGCCTCGTCCACAGCCTCAACGTATCGAACCCGCGCGGATGTCCACTACGGTGTCTGTGCCTCGCTCCTCGCTCTCGTGGACATCTTTCTCTCCACCAAGCCCGCCACAGCCCAGCCGCTCCGCGCCGCCTTTGTCGCTGCTGCAGGCCTGCCCAAGCTCTACCGCGTCGTCGCCGACGCCCGCCTTCGTCCGCACGCCCTCGGCATTCTTGCCACGCTAGGCTCCGAGGACAGCGCCCAGGACTGGCGCATCGTCCCCGATCTCATCGCCGTCGTCCGTGCCGTCCACCCGCGCAACGTCGCCCGGCCCACCGCCCTTAGCCTCCAGCACGACGTCCTGCGCGTCCTCGCCTCCATCCTTTGCGCAAACCCGGCAGCCAAGATCCCGTTCCAGACCGGCGACGGCTTCCGCTGGTCCATTGGCGTTCTCGACACCCTTGCCAAGGCGTACCCCACGCCAGACACTCTCCCGGTCGCCCCGCGCAAGCTCTTTGACTTTGTCCGCACCCTCCTCGAACTCAACGCCATCGCCATCCACAACTCTCGCGACAACGCAGAGTACTTTGCCACCTCGATCACCTTTGACGCCCTCGTCAATGTCCTCTCCTCTTCGCGCCTCTTCCTCGCCTCGGACTTTACTCTCGTCCTCTTCGAGCTGGTCATCGAGCTTGGCCTCGCAGGAACCTGGCCGCCATCCTCATGCTCCGCTCACTCACTCATCGCCTTTCGCTCACTCCCGCAGCGCCTCCGCCTTCGCGGCCTCCAGCTCGCCATCGCCGTCGCCGAGCCATCGGCCGCCACTCCGCCTGCCGCCGCTCCAACCCCGCTGGCGCGCTCGCTCTTCCCAGACTCCCAGCGCCCGCCAACGCCGGATCTCGACTCGGACTCGGACTCGTTTGTCACGCCGGCCTCGTCGCCTCCCGCCTCGCCTCCCGCCTCGCCGCCTGACTCGCCGCACATCAGCTCGCCGCGCTCCATCTTTCCTCCTCGCGCCGCCGCACCCGACGCCGACTTTCTCCTCCCGCCCAAGCTCCGCGCCCGCGAGCGCCACCCGCCGTCTCCGGTCCCTCTGTTTTCGGTCTCCTCGCCGCCAGACTCGCCGCTCTACCGTCTTCACAACTCGACTGCCCCATTCTCGGCCTCGTTCCGGGCGCTCGCCCGTCCGCCGTGTCCAAGAACGCAACCAGCCTCACGCGCCATCCTCCGCTCACCGCAACAGCGCCTCTCCGGCTCCATCCGCTCCTCGTCATCACTCTCGCTCCTCGAGGATCTCCCACACGCCCAGGCTGACATTGTCTCGGAAGTCTCGTCCGAGCTCGAGCTTACCCTCGCCGATCCCACCTGCCGCACTCTCTTTGCAGACTATCTCGCTACCACCCGCTCGCTCAATGAGCTGCGCTTCCACGACGCCGTCCAGGCTCTGTCTGCCAAACGGGCTGCTAGTGCGCCCGACGGCTCGCTCGCCACCGCTGCCCTCGGCCTTGTCGCCACCTACGTTGACGACTCGCACAGCTCATCTCCCAGCGACGCCGACGACGCCCCACTCTACCTTGCTCCCGAACTTGCCGACACCATCCGAGCCGCAGCCGACGCCCTTGCCCGCTCGCTTTCACGCGCCTCTTCACCGACTTCGCCGCTCCGCTCGCCGGACTCGACCTCGGCCTCGCCCTTCCCTCCTGCGCCCGCAGCTGTTGCGGCCATGTCGGACATGGCAACGTCGGATGTCTTTGACCTCGATCTTGATGCCGAGCTCCTTGCTCGCGTCGCCCCATCCTCGCCAGCTGCGGCCGCCCCGCCAACGCACGATGCGAGTCCTGTCACGTCGCCCACCCGCCTCCGCGCGCCGGCGCTCCTCTCACCCCTGCTCAACGCGCTCGACGCAGCCGCAGACGCCATCTTTGTCCAGCTCGCCTACACTCACCGATTCTTCCTTCGACAGCTTGGCCGCGAAGAATTGTACCTCTTTGAGCTGGCCCACTGCCGCGAGTGCTCGCGTGACATGGCCGTCGTCCTCCCTGCCGCCTTTACCGCCGTCGTCCGCCTCGCCGCTTCGGCCGTCGCTCTTGACCTCGGCCTCGGAAACCAGATCGCTTACCACGTGCTCCACCTTGTTACCTTTCTCATCGGCGCCTTTCCTGCAAACGTCTACGCCCTCGGTGAGGCCGACCTCCTTGGTACGGTCCTGGCTGAGTTTGGCGGCATCCTTATCGACGCCAACTCACCTCTCCAGCCGCTGGTCCTTGACCTCGTCGTTGCCCTCGCCGCCTTTCGTTGCACTGTTGTCAACCTGCAAGAGTTCATGGTTCTTCTCCATCCGCGTTTCGACCCACCGCACAACGTCTACGAGGCTCTGCTCTACCTTTCGGCACTCCCGCCGCGTCTCGACCACGCCGCCTTCTTCCCGCACGCCGCCAACGCCACACCCCGCCCGCTGCCCATTGACCCGCTCATCGCCGCGAATCCACTGCTGCCCTCACACGGCGTCGCGCTTCGTTCGCTGGCCACAACCTCCTGGCCGCCCTCCCGCGGCTTCACCCTCTCCATCTGGTTCCAGCCCGACGGCCCGAGCCCGCACGCCTTTGACATCGGCCGCATCTCGCTCGATACCTCGGCTACCCCGACGCCCCGCGCCCGTACGCACTCTCACTCGCCATCCGCGGCGAGTCGCTTATCCTCGTCTACGAGCAGGAGCCCCCGGCCTCGCGCAAGCAGCGCATGCGTGACGACGCCGCGGCCTCCGCCGCCACAGAGACGCCGCCTCCAGAGCCTGCCGCTCACCCCAGGATCCCGACCTCGCTGCCGGACTCGTTCCGCCGCCTACACTCGGTCACGCCCGACTCGTCTCCGCTCGCCGACACCCTTGACGATCTGCCGTCGCCGTCGTCGGCCTCTGGGACCGACTCTCCCGAAATGCTCGTCCGCACTAGCTCGGGCTCGTATCCGATCCCCATCCGTGTCGGTCGCTCACGTCCGCTGCCCGAGCCCGTGGACCGCGGCGCACCCGCCGTCCCGCCGCGGGCGTCGTCGGCTACCCCGCCGCCCTCGGCGTCGTCCTCAGCCGCCGCTCCGCGGCGAGTGCTCGTCAACCTCGGTCCGCTCACCCCGTACGCCCCGCACCACCTCATCATTTGCCACGTCCGTGCCTCCAAGGGTTCACCGCTCGGCAACCTGCTCGTCTACCTCGATGGCAAGCTTGTTGCGCGCCAGTTCTCGACCTTCCTCCCACCGCCTGTCCGCGGCCACATTCTCGGTGACATGCATCCGTTGATTCCAGCTTCACCGGCGCTAGCGGCGTCCGCCCCGGCGTCACCGACCCCATGGCTCCTCGGCAACATGAACTTGCTCAAGAATGTCGCGCTCGACGCCGCAGAAGCCCTCATGCTCTACGCCCAAGGCTCCGGCCCGTGCTCATCGCTCATCGGCGTCGCCACCGTCTCGCTGCGCTCGTTTGAGTTTGCCGCGCCCGAATGGCTCGACTACGCCGCCACCCACGACCTGCTCGGTCCCGGCGAGCGGCTTCGCGTCCGCGCCCTCCTCCGTGCACTCTGCCCGGAGCAGTCGGGCTTTGAGACTCGGCAGCTGCTATTTCCGGCCTCGACCGGAAGCCGCCAAGACGCCCGCTCCGAGTCGGTCTTCCGCCGCCCCTTCTCGCTGGCATCATCGTTTGCTTCGTCGCTGGCCGCCACGCTCGCCTCGTCACCGTCTACTGCTTTCGACGCGCCGCGGACTGTTCGCATGCTTGACGACGACATCGATGATGCGTTCCTCGGCCTCGAGCCGGGCGCTCCCCTCCCACCGGACGCCCTGCCCACCCTTGAAGGTCTTCGCTCGTCCATTATTTTTGTTCTCAACGTCGGCCGCGGGGTCGTCACCCACGGCGCTGCTGTCTCAGGTTCCTCGGGCTCGGGCTCGAAGGATGCCGCCTTTGCCGGCTCGGTCTCGGGCGCCGGACCGTCGGCGGCAGCATCGTCATCGTCGGCCGCACCCGTCGCCCTCTATCCGACCGCTACCTGGATGGGCGGCTCAATCTCGCACGTCTCGGAGAACGTCCGCGACAACCTGTATGCATGCGGCGGCATGGACTCGGTCCTGTACATGGCTGCGCTCTCAGTCTCGGGCCCACCCGAGCTGCAGCACCTGGTTCTTGCCCTCTTTCCGCCGCTTATCGGGCCCGCGTACTCGCCCAACGCCCACCGCATGTCGGCGCTCGGCGGCTACGAGCTTCTTGGCTACATGCTCCGTGCGCCCGACTACACGCTGGACATCACGACGGCCATGATCATGTTTGAGCTCTCAGGCCTGCGCAAGCTCCATCTAGCGCTGCGGCCGCATCCCATCACACTGCGCCCGGCCCACCTGCTCGAGCACAACATCGAGCCCATTTCGGGCTCGTCATTTGACTTTGTCTACGGTGGCGGCGTGCTTGCCAACGTCGACGCTGCGCTCGCCACCCTCCTTGACTGGCGGGTGTGGAAGCGGGCACCACCGCGGGTCCAGACCTTTGTCTGGGAGTCGTTTGTGACGCTCCTCGCACCGGGCTCAGCCACGCCCGAGACTGCTTCCGGCCGTGCCCGCCTCCGCCACTGCCGGACCAACCTGCAGCTGCTGCGGGCGATTGGCCTCTTTGAGCGGCTTCTTGTCATGATCCAGCTCGATCCCGAGTTTCCAGAGGGCCATATGCCGTACATCATTCAGCTCCTTCGCGCGCTGGTCTCCTCGCCGCCACGGAGCTACGAGCTGCAGCTCCTTATCCAGTTCCTTGTCCGGACCCATCCTGTCTCGCGGGCTTCACAGCAGCGCGTCGCAGTCCCGCGCCCGGTCTCTTCTAGCTCGCTGCTGGACTTTGAGCTCCTCTCGCGCTCGTTCAACGCCAACCACGACTCGTCGTTTGCCGCTGACTCAACCGTCGACGGCGCATCGACCTCGGTTTCGTCGTCCTCGGTCGAGCTCCCGTCTGTCCGCCTCGCGCTCCTCTACTTTCTCGTCGAGATTGTCACCACTCTCCCCGACCCGGCGTTGGTTGAACTGGCGACCGACTCGCTTTCGGCACTCGTCCTTGTCCAGCTGGCGCAGCACCCATGCTCCTACACCCGGGTCTGCCTGCTGCAGATCATCGACCGCTACCTCGGCGTGCCAAGCCTGGCTGCGGCCTTTGTCGCCTCGGCAGGCTTTGACCTTCTCGGCTCGCAGCTGGCAACCCACCCAGCGACGCGGCTTGTTGTCGACGCGCTGTTTGCAGTCATGCAAGGCTCTACCGAGCCGGCCAACGTTTCTCGCCAGCCTGGCCAAAGCTCAGAATCCGGCGCCGATGCGTCCTGCTCTCGCGCTCTGCCACACCCGCACTGCGTCCGCACCCTCCTCCGCGTCGCCGGCAACTGCTGGGACGACACCGTGCTCCGCCACGCTACCATCCGCCGCCTCCACTACTCGGTCTTTGAAGCGTCCCTGGCAAACAAGGAGGCGCTCGTCGCTGCAGGCCTTGTCCGCGAGCTCGTGGCTCTCCTCGCCACTGCACTCGCCGAGGATGTGGTTGACACCGTGTTTGAAGGCGACATCATTGTCTTCCTTGCTGCCATCGCCGTCTACGGCTGTGGCCTTAAGAGCGGAGACAATGAGCTTGTGCTCAGCGTTGTCACCGGGCTCGGCACGCTCTCTGGCGTCTCGGCGCTCAAAATCCGCCAGGTCCAGCAGCGGACCCTCCACATGGCGCTTGCAGCCTACCATGAGACGTGGGCGCAGCATGATTTAGGCTCGCGATCGACGCTTGCAACGCTTGCTGCGCTCGCGCGGTGTATTGTTGACTCGGTCGTGGCGTACTCGCCCGAGTCACCGGGTGTTCATTCCCAGACCGTCGAGCCGGAGCCTGACACCGCACGGCATGTTGAAGCGCACTCGATCGAGTTTGACCTTGTTGTCTTTGTGGTCAACCTCCTTGTTGACCTGCGTCCGCATGCGCGGGCGGCGTCGTCGGCGACAGCGCGCGCTCTTGACGACGCGCTGGCCTCCCTTCTCCTCTGGGTCTTCCAGCGGTTCCATGCGCACGCTCTCGACGAGTCTGCTGAGGAGATGCGCATTGGTCTGCAGGCTGCGCTGGAGGCTGCCGAGGTTGCCCGGAGCCGGACAGAGTCGACGTCAAGCGCGCCGCCGACTGCAGCCGAGACTGCCATTCTGACGCTGCGGCCCGAGCTGACGGTCGAGGCCGCGTCGGCGACCAAGTCCAGAGATCCGTTCGCGACCTCGAGCGCGGCGAGCGCCGAGATGATCGAGGAGGCGCGGGCGTCGTCGGCGTCGTCGTCGCGGGCGACGTCGCCGTTTGGCACGCTTATCTCTGAAGAGTTCAGCGAGTCGAGCCAGACCTTCCAGCACGCGGTGGCGCTCGCCGAGGCGCTGGCACGTCAGGTGCCGTCTGCAGTTGTGGCGGCGTTTGCTGCCGAAAAGGCCTTTCTCATCCGGTTTGTCCTCTACACCCAGCCGATGCTTCGGCGCGTCGGGGTGGCGTCGGCCGTTGAGCGGCATTGGCTCGCCATTGCCGAGCACCACTTTTCGACGCTTGGCCTCATCATCAAGTGTGACATCTCAGCTGACCTCGAGCTGTCGACGCCTGCTGGCGTCCGCGCGCTACAAGCGCTCCTGCACACCGTCGAGGGCATCCGTCGACCGTCGGACGTCTTTCTGCAGGCGACAATGCGGCAGGCACGGATTGCCGAGGCCGACGCTGCGGCGGTGCGTGACGCGGCAGCGGCGGCGTACACCGCCAACTTGGCGGCGGCAACTGCCGAGTGTGCAGCTGATGAGTCGGCGGCGTCGCGGACATGGGCCGCAGCGTGCAACGCGTTTCTCACCTCGCAGGTCGAGCTCAACAAGCCGGTCATGGGTATGGTCCAGCACCTGGCGGAGCAGGACTACGCGGCCCGCAAGCGATGGCGCGGCCTGTGCCAAGACCTGACCCACGAGCGCGGCCCGTGGCACGTGACCGACGACGAGGTCCGTGTTTGGCTCGGCGAGTCGGACTCGGACGACGGGGGCCAAGACTCGCGGAGCAAGGCCGATCCGCACGGCGTGGCCGCAACGCCGGGCCGCGAGTCACAGGCGTCGGCGTCGGTCCGCCGCGCGCGGGCGCGGGCGACGTCTGAGCGGTTTGCCTCTGGCCGGCACGTGGTGTACGCACTCAACCCGACCGAGTCGGCGGCTCGGCTGCGGGTCCGACTCCAGCCTATCCCACCGCCGCTCATGTTTGTTGACTGGCTCTCGGCACCCGTGGCCGAGGAGGAGGCCGACAAGCGGAGCGGATCGATGCTTGCACTGGCGGACGGCGAGCGGCTGCAGCATCTCTTCCGGTGTGTGCGGATCACGCCGGCGCGCAAGGTCGACGGCGAGCTGCTGGTTGGCTCCTCGTCGGGCTACTTTATCCCCGACAAGCACCAGGGCGACGACAGCGCCGGCGGTGCCTCGGTCGCCCCGCTCGGCTCGGGCCTCGGTAACAGCCACCTCGCACAGCTGTTCGAGGTGGCACTAGTGGTGGAAAACCTCGAGTTTGAGTACGTCGACGTCAAGGAAGTCCACAAGCGGCGGTATCTGCTGAAGAACTGCGCGCTGGAGATCTTTCTCCTCACCGGCACGACGATGTTGTTTGCGTTCGAGTCGGAGCGGATCCGTGACGAGGCGTACAAGGCGTTTCTCAAGTCGGAGCTTCCGAACCGCATCGACTACGAATCGTCGATGTCGGGCTCGCTCATCCGCAAGTCGGTCCTTGACAAGTGGCGTTCGGGCAAGGTCTCCAACTTTGACTACCTCATGCACCTCAACACGCTTGCTGGGCGGTCGTTCAACGACCTGACCCAGTATCCAGTCTTTCCGTTTGTCCTTGCACAATATGGCGCGGCAGAGCTTGACTTGTCGGATCCTGCGTCGTTCCGTGACTTTGCCGCGCCGATGGGCGCACAGGACCCGGGACGGCTGGCCAAGTTTGAGGCCAAGTTTGAGGCGCTGCAGCAGATGCACGCCGAGGCGCCCGACGACGCACCCGAGCCGTACTACTACGGCTCGCACTACTCGAACATCGGGTCCGTCCTCCACTTTCTTGTCCGGGTCGAGCCGTTCACCCAGTTCTTCATCCAGTTTCAAGGCGGGTGCTTTGACCTCCCTGACCGCACTTTCCACTCTGTGGCCCACACATGGCGGCTCTCGTCGTCGATCTCGACGTCGGACGTCAAGGAACTTATTCCAGAGTTCTACTATTTTCCAGAGGCGCTCATCAACCTCAACGCGTGCAACTTTGGGCGGAAGCAAGACGGGACGCCTGTTGACTCGGTGGAGCTCCCGCCGTGGGCGCGCGGCTCGGCGCGGACGTTTGTACGGCGGATGCGCGAGGCGCTCGAGTCTGAGTACGTGTCGGACCACCTGCACGAGTGGATCGACCTCATCTTTGGCTTCAAGCAGCGAGGCGAGGCGGCGTTAGTGGCCAAGAACGTCTTCTACCCGCTCACCTACGAGGGCGCCGTTGACATTGACGCCATCGACGACGAGATCCAGCGTGTGGCCACCATTACGCAAATCTCCAACTACGGTCAGACGCCGACGCAGCTGTTCTCTAAGCCACATCCTGCGCGGTCGTCGTCGTGGCGGTCGTCGGGCTGGCTCTTTGCCGACCACGTGTTCCTCCCGGATGTGGTACTCGGAGCAACGGTGGTCCGCGGGCTAGCGGCACGGGTGGCGGTTGGCATGATCGCGCCGCAGCCCGGAGCGCCGTCTGCGGCGCCGGTGGTCATGGGCGCGTCGCGAGTTGCCATTCCACCGCAACTCTCCAAAATGGTCTCGTACGGGCACTGGGACTCGACGTTCCGGTTGACGGCGATCGAGTCTGGGCGACAACTTGCGGTGGTGCCGCCGCTGTACGCGGGTGACGAGATTGTGGTGGCCATTGCGCCGGAGCTTGGCGAGCGGTACTCGGCGTCGAACCCGGGGCTTGTGGTGACCGGCTCAAGCTCGGGCGTGGTCCGGGTGTGGACTCTGACGCAGGTGTCGGACAAGGCGTGCGACATGGTGGAGGCCGGCGTGCTCGTGGGTCACGAGGGGGCAGTGCTCTCGATGGCGGCGTCAGTCGACTTTGGAGTTATAGTCTCGGGCTCGATGGATGGCTCGGTCATTGTGTGGGACCTCAACACGCTGCGCTACGTGATGTCGATGGACGTGCCGGGCTACGCACGGGCACTGGCGGTTTCCAAGACCAACGCAGATGTGGCGGTGGCGTCGTCAGGCTCGGGCGAGGCACTCTCGCTCTACACCATCAACGGAGCACAGGTGGCGCGGGTCAAACCACACGCCGCGATTACGTGTGTCGACTTTACCTCGGGCTGCGAGGGCGAGGTTGTCAACGTGGTGGTCGGCGGCACGCTCGACGGCTCGGTGCTCATGTGGTCGACCGAGGATCTGAGCCTCGTCCGGTCACTGACGGCGACACCGCACATGGCGCCAATTACAGCGCTTGCCATTGTCGGCGCTGGGCTCAAGGTTTACACTGGGGACGCAGACGGCGTGGTGGTCATGTGGCAGGCGGTGAAGGGCAAGGCAGCGGCCGATGCCGTCGCCGAGTCTGCAGCGTTTGTCCATCCAGACTCGGAGGCCGCCGCAGTGGCCGACGCCGTGTCGGCCGTGTTGTGAGGTGTTTACCCTTGCCGGTCGGCGTGGCCGCGCCGCGCTCATCAACGCGTACGCGCTCTACGCTGACGCGAGCCCACGCCCCGCCATGACTCGCTTGGCTTTTCCACACGACATCATCGACGCCGTTGGCTCCGCGCCGTCGCGTAAGCGTAAGCGTCCCTCTGCAGCGGCTGCTTGTCATCACCACATTCCCCAACAAGCCGCTCTGCGACGCGGCTGCCTCGCCTGCCGGAGCTTCATGGTAAGCGATCGCGGTCGTCCTCGCGGACCCTTTGCGCCGCGCGCGGCGTCCATCTCTGAATCGCTGACTGTTTTCTGTTGTGGCAGCCATTAGCACATTGTACTACTCTTGTTCAACAATCCATGGACGTTGCGACGCCTGTGGAGCGTCGCCCGGAGCGCAGCTTGCGCGATGGACAGCTTTGTCCATTGCGTACCGTAAAGGGTTAAAGAAGGACAGTGCCCTTGCAGGGGATCATTTAGAGGAGGGCGGCAAAGGGGTTGTTGGAGATGGCGGCGTCCTTGCCAACCTTGGGCTTGGCGGCCTCGGCCGCGGCGGCCTTGGCGGCCTTGGCAGCCTTGGCGGCGGCACGGTCCTCGGGCGGAGTGGCCGAGGCCGGCGGGCGCGAGAGGTTGACGAGCCAAGAGGTGGAGACAGTGACGCCGCGGAGGGTGGCGAGGCGGCCTGAGAGGGTTGAGCCGGTAATGATGGGCCGGTCGAGGACAAGCTCTGCGGTGGTGCCGCGGAGCGTGACGATGTAGCCACAGGTGCCAAACGGGATGGGGCCGGCGGGGCGGACGGAGCGGACGCGATCGCCGATGTAGAACTTGGTGGGGAGGGCGGCTGGCGTGGTGACCCGAGAGATGGTGTGAACATTGACGAGGTGCGTGGCTGGGACCGCCTTGACCAGCTTGGGCTTGGACGGCTTGGCGGCGGCTTGTGCGGCGGCGTCGAGCTCGTCCTCGAGGGCGGCGATGGCAGACGCCGAGAGGGAGGCCATGTCGTCGGGAACGAGCGGGAGCGAGGCGACCTCGAGTTCAGAGAGCCACTTGATGAGGCGACGGAGGTGCATCATCGGCTTTTGCGAGCCAAAGAGGGCCGAGACCTTGTACGAGCGCTCATTGGGTGCGCGCGAGAGGGCGTTGACAAAGGTGGGGAAGCGGGCCTTGAGGGTCTTGAGCAGGCCGAGCGTCTTGGTGGAGAACTCCCAGATCTGCCGGGCGGTGCCGCCAGCAGAGCGGATGGTGCGGCGGCGGGCGTAGCCGACGATGCGGAGACCGCGACCGGAGAACTTGACGCCGAGGCCGATGTGGATGGTGGCCGGGCCGGGGACTGAGACGGTGACGGCGCCGGTGATGCGGGCGACGGCCAGCTGCGACATGCCGACCTCGCGGGCGGCGTCGTTGGTGGAGACATAGCGCTCGGAGCGCGAGGCCTTGACGACAGGGGTGAGGTCGATGTCGAGGTCAAGCGGCGGGGTGACGGCAACGTTGAGCTTGTAAGAGGCCGGGCCCGAGGCGGACGGGCCGTCGTTGTCGTCAGCCTCGCCCTTGCCCTTGGAGGACGAGGCGACTTCGAGGACGGTGCCGACGCCGCCAAAGTGGACGCCACCGACGACGGCGACAGCGGCGCCGCGGGCGTAGAGCTGAGTGAGCGGAACTGGCTTGGGCACGTAGCGGGTGTCCGGCGCAGGAACGGTGCGGACGGCGAGCTGCAGCGGAAGGAGGAGCTCCAGACCGGTCTTGGGGTCAGGGCCAAAGTCCTTGGTCACCGAGCCGTCGGCGTGGAGCACAAGGCGGTGAAGAACAGTGACGTGGAAGACGTAGCGGATGTCGCGGAGCTTGATGCCGTGGTGGATGAGGTAGTCGTTGTCGAGTCGGGCCACTGTCTCGTCCCAGTCGTGGACGACATCCTCGAGGACAATGCCATCATCGGCGCCAGTACCCGGGTAGTAGTACATGGAAGGGGTGGAGAGCGCCACGACGCGAGCCTCGACCAGGTACGGCCAGTTGGCGTACACGGTCTGGCCGAGGTATTTTTCGGCGAGGTAGCGAGCCGATGGGATCGAGGCGAGCGCCGACTCGTCGGGGAGGATGATGAGCGAGTCCTCGCGCGACGGGCCGGCGACGGTCTGGACGCCAACTGAGCGGACGGTGTACAGGTAGCGGACGGTGGCAAACGAGGGGAAGCCCGGGACTGGCGCGGCCGGCGGCGGGCGCGCGCCGGCGCAGAGCTTGGGGGTGAACGGGGCGGCGAGACGAGGCGTGGTGTACGGCACGATGGCGACGGGCGCGTTGGTGAGGGCCGGTAGGACGGCGAGCTCGCCCGGCGGGCTCAGCTGGGTCTTGTTCGACGGGTTGTAGTGAATGAGGAAGGCAGTGCCAGGCGTGTTGCGGGCGAGCTCGCTCGGCGAGCATTGGGCGAGGCGGGCGGCGACCTCGGTGGAGAGAGCGGTCTGGTCCACAAACGGAATGAGAGCAATGTCCTTCCAGCTCCTGCCGGACTCGTCGGGGATGAACCCGTAGTCGGCGGGGAAGTAGGGCGCGAGCGGCGAGTCGGGCGCGGTCATGAGCTCGGCGAGCGGAGGAGGGAGGAGCGAGGCCGAGTAGTGCGGGAGAACGGCCATGAGCTGCTCAAACGGCGAAAACGGAGTGGCGGTAGTGTCGTACGCCACGACGGCGTCGCGGATGGAGCCAAGGTCGGCGAGAAGCGGCGCGCAGTAGTAGCCGTAAAACCACGACCACGAGAGCACGCCCTGGTAGTAGTACGACAGGTTCCAGGCGAGGCCCTGGATGTACTGCGAGACGACGTCGTGAACATAGTCCTCTGGCGCAGCAGGCGCCATGTGCGGGAACTTTTCGTCGTACCACCACGCGGCTTTTTGCGCTGGCGTGAGCGAGTTGGCCGAGACCGCTGCCAGCTGCGGCTCGGTCGGCTCGGGCGCCTTGCGCTTGCGCCGCGTCCGCTTGCCGGGCTCAAGCAAGGTCTCCGGCTGGACGCCGAGGAGGTGGGCCATCGAGAGCAGGTAGTCAGGTGCGGCGTCGGCGGCGTCGTCGGCAGCGGCGGCGTCGTCGTCGTCGTCATTGTTGTCTGTCTCGGCTGGCGGAGGCGGTGTGGGCGTGTTGGCGGCCGGATCGAGTTCTGCTGACTCGACCGGTGACTGGCCTGCCGCCTGCTGGTCAGTAGAAACACTGCCGGGCGGCGGGGCCCAGGCCGAGGGGGCGGGCGGCGCCGGCGAGGGGGAGGCGCCGACATTGAGCATTTGCTTGAGCGCGTCGGTAGCAGCAGCGTCAGCATCTGCAGCAGCAGCCGGGGGCGCCACGGGTGGGTCGACGAGCTCGCCTGGGTGACGGGCGCGCATGACACGGGCCTCGCGCTCACGAAGGGCGTCAAAGAGCGCCTGAAGGGCGAGCGGGTTGATGACACAGGCGCCAGCGTCGACAAGCCAGTCAGACCAGGTGGGGAGGAGCTTCTTGTATGTGTCAAAGACAACCTTGAGGCCGCCCTTGTCGATGTCCATGAGCGGGAGCGGCGGCAGAAAATCGTTGCCGATGAAGAAGCACATAAAGACAAAGTCGTCGAGCAGGCGCTCGATGTCCCAGGCAAAGGCTAGCGGCGCGCGCGGCTTGAACTCGTTAATAAGGTACTCGCGGAGGATGGCAAGGTGGAGCATCTCAAAGTCGTCGGTTTGCTGGACAGCGATGGCAGAGCGCTCGTTGAGGACGCGCGACTGGCCAAAGACCACCTTTTCGCGGACAAGGGTGAAGAGCGGTTCATGGGTGGCGAGGCCAAGCATGATGAGGTCAGCATCGAGGCCGTGGAGGCAATGCGAGGTGTTGGGGTCGTAGCCAGGTGCCGACTTTGCGGCGCGGATAAAGTCCATGATCTTGTGCTCGCCCTCGCCTGGCACGTCGGGCCCCGAGACAATGACGGAGATGGCCTGCCACTCGGCGTCGGTCGCCACCTTGTGGGCCACAAAGTACTTGAGCTGGTCGACAAGCGCCGCCATGAACTGAGTGCCCGGCGTGATGCAGTTGGAGTCAAAGACGTTGGCGGCGGCGGCGTCATCGTCGTCATCCTCGCCGCTCTCGTCGTCGCTCTCATCGTCCGACTCGGAGAGCGAGGCAGCGGCGTCAGGCCCTGCACCGGGCTCGGCGGCAACCGCCTTGCGCGCGGCGCGTGCGGCAGCCTTGGCCTCCTTGGCCGCCTTGAGGCCGGCCTCGGTGGCCGCGGCGGCCTTGAACCGGCGCTGGCGCTGCTGGTTGACCTTGGCGCGCGGCGCGACACCATCGACAGCAATGAACAGCAGACGCTGCGGGCCGACAACAGAGAAGACTCGCTCGATGTAGCCAAAGACAGCAGCGGCGATGGTGACCGGGTCCTTCTTGTACGACACAGCCTCGTCGTTGGAGTGGGTAGCGTTGTGCAGCACTCCATTGAGATCCATATACAGATTGTGAAAGACAGGCGGCGGGAGCGTGTTGGCCTTCCGGTTGATCTCCGGATAGCGCTCCGAGATGAAGCGGAACAGTTTAGGGATCTGCGGGGAGAGGGGGGCGGGGAGGGAGGGGAGGGGTGAGTGGGTGATGCATGAGAGGGGGGGGGGGGAGGAGGTGCTGCCCGTTGTCACGTACTCCCATGGTGGTATGGGCTGGGTCCGGAGAGCGGTTAGAGTTGTGCGACGGTGTGTGGTGTGACGGGGATTCACAAACGCGAGGAGGGAGGAGTGGTGGGTATGGGTGCGTGCGAGTGAGTCTGGTGAGGACGGGTGCAGGCGCCTGGGCAGCGGCAAGGTGGTCGTCATCGAGGAGGAAGGAACTAACTCGGGATTTGTTTTGACGACCTTTTGGCGGAACTTGACGACCTTTTGGTGGAACTTGACGACCTTTTGGTGGAACTTGACGACCTTTTGGTGGAAGGAGGGCAGTGAGCGCGCGGGTGGCGAGCTGTCGGGACCGAGGCTCAAGCGCGGACCACGCATTGCGTCGCACCGCACTCTTGTAGAAGCGAGAGACCAGGAAGGAAGGTTGGCGAGGAAGCGAGCAGAGGCGGAAGCAATGGCTGACAACGGGCCGCCCAAGGTCAAGGTGCTTATTATTGGCGCGTCGGGAGTGGGCAAGACGTGCCTGCTGACGCGGTTCTGCGACGAAGTCACACCGTCGTCGACCATCTCCACCATCGGCATCGATTTTAAGACCAAGGTGGTGAAGGTTGACGGGACAGCCATGCGGCTGCTGGTATACGATACGGCCGGACAGGAAAAGTACCGCACCATCACCTCGTCGTTCTATCGCGGCTCGGCCGGGGTGGTCCTCGTCTACGACGTGACAGACGAGGCCTCGTTCCACTCCATCTCGGAGCTGTGGATGCCGCGGCTGGAAGAGCTCTCGGGCAAGAACGTGTCCAAGGTCTTGGTCGGCAACAAAATCGACAAGGAGGCGGCGCGGACGGTGCCGACTCGGCTGGGCGAGGGCCTGGCCGACGAGTTTGGCATCCCGTTCTTCGAGACGTCGGCCATGACCGGCGACGGCGTCGAGAACGCCTTCCTGCACCTCGCGGCCGCCATCAAGGCCCGAGTCCTCGATCCTGTCGCCGAGCAGCGTGCCACCGCCGACGATCCTGCAGTCATCCTCACCGGCATTGCTGGGGATTCCGGTGGACGGCCCCAGAAGTCTGGCTGCTGCTGATCCCCCC